GGGTTCAGGAAGTTAAGGTTTGGGTTTCTTCTCAGAGGTGTTGTAGGAAAGCTGCAGAGTGGGTTCGGGCGTGCAACGCAGCAGACGGAACATGTTCAAAAGATGCACAAGCCACCGTAACCCCTGAATTAAGGAATATACCTTAAATTAGAATAGGATGCCTAATATGATTTAAGGCTTCTTCCTTATTTAAGGGCCCTCCTGAGCAAACAAATGCCGCAGTCGACGCCTGCCGAGGCTTGCGCGCCTTGGTGCCACCCGGAACTTCAGCGCCGGACTGCCTGAGTGGCTCTTCCAGCTCCATGTCGACAAGTCTCTTGGCTCAGGATTTGGATTGCGATTTTCGGACTTGATATTAAGAGGGTGTGGGCATATACTACAAAGAAGTCGCTTTGTGCGATACTGTACAAAGCTTCGCAGGTCCAGTCCCGTAAAACCTCTCGTGGCGGTGTAAAAAAAGGCCTTGTCCGGCGGGTGCTAGTGCTTGCAAGTGCGGCGGTGCTTGGCAGGGCGGGGGAATTGTGGGTTGCTTGCTCTTGCTAGGACGTTCGTGGCGACTCGTGTTGTACCATGTGCATGTCCTCAGCTGATTTCATTCTCGAACCTTTTCGCCCATTCTCCGGCCTGCATCTCCTGGCCATGGCTCTTCTCTGTCGGGTGCAACAGCAACTCGCTGCCGAGCCCGGGGTCGAGCTCTACCTGTGGTCACACGGCCATCGCCATCACGTGCTGGCTATCTCCGGGGGGAAGGTTAGTTTCTTCTCGACCTCTGGCGAGGGCATTGTGGAAGCGGGGTGGCATGGAGAGGCGAGCACAGGCCCGAATGAGCTCAAGGTGTGTGTGCACTACCGCGGGATACAGACCCGTGCCAAGACGGTCCATCTCGTGTGGCATGCCCCCAGCGCCGCCTACCTCGACCCACACCGCATCGTGAAGCCAGCCGCCTCTTTGACCCCGGAGGCACACGGCGACCTCACGATGACATGGACGTTGTACGCTCATGCCGTGATGCAACTCGCCAGCCGCGAGGCGAAATTCTATGTGTGGTTGCATGGAGAACGGCAACATGTGCTCGCTGTTGCTGGTGGCCAAGTGAAGTTCTTCTCCTGGCATGGGGAGGAGGGTGGCCGTGCTCTGGCTCCCAGTGCCGGCAGTGGTGGTGATGACCCAGCTCGAGGCAGTTTCTCTACAATGCTGATTAATATTGATAGCACTCAAGCTAGGCCCAGTTTGGCAGGTTCCTGCGTCCCAATGGGACAAACCATTTTTCGGACAGCCCGGGGCAACCATGTCAGGCTTCCCGTCGCAGGCTGATGCGCCGAGCCCATACAAGACGCTGACGGATCATGAGTTTCAGCAGTGGTTCGGAGCGGCTGACCTGTCAGTTTGTGACCGTGTTTAGTTTTGTCGCTTGTGAACTTGAGAGGCTTCTTATCGGTGTATAGCAGAGACACACTTTTTGTTTATGTCGTTAGCTGCCCGCCAGCCTCTGAATTCTTTACTTTATATAACACCGTTTTGCCAAGGAGTATGTGGGGTGGATGGTGCACCAGATCAAGGATATCCATCGCAAGCTGAATGGGTTGGAAGCCCGTGTGAGGAGGATGCCATACCCTGTGGGTGATCCGGCAGGCCCACCGGTGCCGACTCCGGCAACGCGGCGTAGACGCAGTTCGTCAGACTCTGACACCGACAGCAGCGAGCGTAGGACAGCCCGACGGCGGCGTGCGAATGAGTCGGAGCAGTCAAGTCAGTGAGTTGAGTAGCGTCAGTACAGTGTACAGTACATTGATGTAAACTAGTAGTGTTTTTGTGACGGTGATCATAAGACTTAGGAACTTAGTGGTTCTTGGCCTTGATGGGTAAGTAGTGGGGAACAGATAGCTAGGGCTAGGGGTACGGTGGTAGTTTGCGTCACAGGAGTTACAAATTGTTAACTACGTTCAGTAGATTTAGAAGTGATGGTGTGTTGATCGTTACTTTTTAGGGCCCTCTAGACGGGTCTACTCCCCGGTGCGGTGGATGAGCTTTGCCGGGCAGAGTCCTGCATTTGGAGCTGTAGCTTCCAGTGCAGGGCTGATTCGGGCGATGTCTAGGTGGGCTTCTGCAGGCTTCAAGCAGCCCCTTGCTTCTGTTGCTTGCGTGGTTCTTGGGTTCTGTGTTTGTAGATACAGCGGCTCGCGACCAGGTACACCGAGAAAATTGCGAAGTACTGCAAGGCAGGGCGGAGTGAGGACAGGTGCTTGAAGTGGGGCCAAAGGAGTAAAGAACCTTCCACCCTAAAGAGCCTAAAGCCCTGGCCCGCGGCCCGAAACCAAAGGCCTGTAATTCCATGGCCCACTCGTCAGTGCCTGAACTGTAGTTCGGGGAACACCGACAGCAAGGCCAGTTTGGCGATCTCTACAGTAAACCTCATAAAGTTGGAAACCGGATTAAGGCCAAATAGTGCTGGGATTCCCTATACATTACTCTTAAGGATTGAGGCTATTGGGTTTCCAACTTTTTGGCTTATACGTAGGGCTTTTGCAGTCTCTGTCCAGCCTATGAAGAGCAAGTAGAACTATAGATCCTTAACGAGGCAATCAACCTCACATTCCCACCGCTGGATCTTGCGCAGTAGAACCGACCCTATCCCCTCTCGATAGAGAAGGAAAAATCATTTCGCATTGTCATTGTCAGATGTGGTAGGAGCATCGTGATTAAGCGGCAAGATAATTGGAATCTCCATTATTAGTGTTATGAATCTATTGTTATCATGATCTCCCACTATTACCATCATCACACCATCATCGTCGGCATCATCGTTAGTAGTTAGTGTTGCAATCAGTACTTTAGTTTTGTATTCAGTAGTTTGTAGTAGTCGTGGTCGTGGTCGTGGTCGTGGTCGTGGTCGTGGTCGTGGTCGTGGTCGTGGTCGTGGTAGTGGTAGTGGTAGTGGTAGTGGTAGTGGTAGTGGTAGTGGTGGTCGTAAGGAGTAGGAGTAGGAGTAGGAGTAGGAGTAGGAGTAGGAGTAGGAGTAGGAGTAGGAGTAGGAGTAGGAGTAGGAGTAGTAGTAGTAGTAGTAGTAGTAGTAGTAGTAGCAGCAGCAGCAGCAGTACCGTAGCAGCCATCGTTGTCAGAACGTCAGGTGACGGGCATCGACTCACCGGAGCAGCTCTCGCGCCTCGGATCGCGGCCTCATCGTTGAGGGCCGCCGGGGTTTGAGAGTTAAGGGTTCAGGGGTTGAGGGCGCAGGGGCTCGAATGGCCTTAATGATTACAATTAGGTTTGGGGGGTTCCGTATTACAAATATAGTATAACTTACCTCCAAACCCTATTCTAAGCACTATGGCCTGTATATACTTTGAGTTCCGCCGTGAGAAGTGGGAACTGGGCGGGGCATTCATCGAAGCTTCCTTGTTCGGTTGCGGCTGTCGGATTCCTTTTCTTAGCTTCCGGGGTGCCTTGCATTCTGAAATCAGACAGCAGCGTTGGCAGTGCAAAAGCCAAGTCGGTTCCTATAGTTGGTTTCTTGCAGGGGCATCCAGGGCCTACTGCTTGTTGTCGCGGGTGGCTGGCCACAGGGCTGATACTGCTTTCACCCTTGGCGTTGGCAGTTCAAGCGCGACAGATCCGAAACACCTATCCCCCAAACTTCCTGAACGAACGGTTGACAGGAGCCCTCAAAGTCTAGAGGTTTTAGGGTGTTGCGACTGTAATTATTTTCGCATTTGACATGGTTTAGGGCTTTCAGTTGTGACGTGAGTTCGGCTTTCGGGGTTTCGGAGTGAATGGATTTTTGGTTTTCCTTGTACCGGTTTCGAGCTTGGGGTTTCTCCGGTGTTCAAAATGGGTTTAGGGTTTAGAGATTAGGGTTTAGGGTTTGGATCAAGCGCCTCGGCCGCTAAACACCTCGTGGGTTAATCGTGCTTGATGATTCTACAACAACCCAAATTTGGGTTGGTCGCCTGTTTTGACATCTGGGCCCCTGATTGTCGTAGCCCTGCATCCTGAAACAAAAAAGTCAGAAACTTGGAAGCCACAAGCCCGAAGCCTCCAGCCTCCAGCAACGACAACACTGTCAAAAACGCGAGGCAGAGAGCCAAAGATGTGGCCGCCGCAGCCGAACCACAAAACGTCACGGCGGCGGCGCAGCTGGCGGGCATCCTCGGTGCCTGGGATGATAAAAACAGGGAGCGGATTTAGGGGTTTGGGCTTACGGCTTCCTGAGTGGGACTCTGTTCTGGCTTAGCGCATGATGATGAAGCTTTTGCGGACTGCATGAGTTAGACTTGCATGGCTTTGAGAGGGGTCCGAGGAAGATAACCCCCTCACCACTCTATGCGAGTTCTCGAAGCACCCTCAAAGGCTTCCTTAAAAGGGGATGGGGCTTTGGGCTTCTGTGTTTCTGTACGATTGGTGGGCGCTGAGGCTTAGGTCTTTCGAGGTTAAGGTTGAGCACGAAATGCAATGGAAATAGCGGAGCTTGACAGACTGAAACGAATTTGAGGAATGTCAGGCCCTGACATAAGGTGGGTGAGAATGTAGTCCGTGGATATGTGGAACATGCCAGCTTTCCTTCGTACAGAGCATCTTTTTCGGGGATTCTGTTGCCAATGGTCTTGAGAAGTGCAGTAGGTTGTGTTATGACAAAATCAAGTTGCCGGGCCGGTATCATACTGTCTTTTTGCCACTTTCTTGATGTATCTGGCCACACCGTAGCAAGCAGGATCGGCACCACGACTGGCACGACATGCGAAACTCCGGCCAACTTGTTCCAGAGGCAACGCCACCCGCGGGGTTTTGCACGCGCATCGCTTGGTCACTGGGCTGCACGAAGCAGAATCCTCCCGAGCAGCGGGGGGGGGGAGGGGCTAAGCACAGTAAAGCCCAAATCAGACGAGTCGCTGGTGGCTTAGGTCGTTAGGGTTGGCAGCGAAGGGACCCTGTGCCTTAAGCGGCAGGATGCGAAGCTGAAGATGACCGGCGTGCTGACAGCCATGAGCAAGAACCAGCCGTAACCTTTTTAAAGCCCAGGGCCTCGACTCGACGCGGGCAGCAGGGTAGGTGAAGGCTTGCTTCGGCGTACCCTTCAGCGCCGCGCTCGTGAAAAAGCTTCTGTGAAGGTCAGTCCTGCCACCGTGTATCTCAAGACCTTGAAACCCCGACCCCCCCCCCCCCCCCAAAACACCGCTCGACTCAGAGGCCCAGCTGTCCTACCACGACGACCATATAGCCAAAATTTTGGGGCTGAAGCGGTAGTAGTAACTGTTTCGAGCGCTTCAGGCTGCGGAACTCCGAAGATTAATCCTACAGTGCAAGAAGTGTCTTTGAATGACGGCTTGCCAGCAGCTGAGGGATACTTTAAAATTTGTAGACACTGCGTTGTTTCAGCTTAAGTGGCCCGACAAATGCCGCTGTGCCCCGAATGAAAACGCCGGAACTTAGATGAATCGTACAGCAGCTGAAGGCTCTGCCCGTCACGAAAACACCGCAGAGAGCCGGTCAAAACCTCTGGGAAGCCCGGGAGGCCCTGACAAAAACCGACTTGATTGAGTTGACGGCCCCGAGCGGTAGTTAAGTGCCAGATGTTTACAGAGATTTTATTGCGTGCAGTCTTGTGCTTATCGAATGAATGCTAAGCGTAGCATATCTCTACCAACGTCATCCGTACTGTTGCTCGGAGCATCATCGCCGACATGGTGGCCTTCTTGCCAGGCCCCATCTGCCACGGATGCTGGCCTAAGACTCTTCGAAATGATCCAGCTGGCCAAGGAGTGGACTTTTGTGCTTCTGGGTGGGCGGGGGGAAGTCTCATGTGGCCAGCTTCAATTCTTTAGCGACTTTAGTGCTGTGAGTGCCGAGAAGGATGCTGTCAATAACAAACCTCCCAAATAGCCCCAAGATATACATTGATCCCAGCTTAGCTGGAGTTGTCGGCTCAGGTTCAGGGCTTCAGCACGTTCAGCTTAGATCTGTGTTTCGGATTTGCGCAGCGCGTGAGCGGTGGGTCGGAAGTAGCCTGTAGGCTCACATAGGCTGCGGCTGTGCCGTCGCCGTCGTCATGATCACTATCTACTTTGCTGGTCCAGGCTTATCAAATAACATCATCATCGCTGTTTTCATCGCAATCATCATACCCGGTGCCTGGTTCATGATTTCCATCTGTATGGGATGAACGATCGGCAGTGGGAAGAGCTGAGATTTTCCGGCTTCCATCCCCGTAGCCCCCTCCGTCCCCACAAGCCCGAGAGATTAGATAGGAGTTTCTCCTGATAATAAGGGTCCTACTATGTAGGGTACTATAATGTACTATATTAGGGTCCCCCTGTTTTTGGAAACTCCCGGATAGACAAGTGTCTAGCGACCCATCAGGCTTGTCGTTGCCAGCCGAAGCCCTTAGCCTCGACCCACGAGACTGCTTGGAAACACCGGGTTTAGGCTTGGGGTTTAGGGTTTAGGGTTCAGGCCCAAAGTTTAGGCTTGGGATTTCGTGTTGCGTTAACTCCGGGATGCATAGCAACCAGCAGCCTCACAGCCCAAGCCTTTGCCCTGGACCCATGGAAGCACATTCGCAACCAACAAACGTCGAGCCCAGCATTCTCAGTAACAAGTCTCAGGCCATCAACATTGAAACCCTCAAAACCAATAAAGCCTGAACCATGAAATCCGTTGAGACTCCAGACAACGCCAGGAGCGCGCCGACCAGCGCCGGGAACTGACCGACGCCACGGAGGAAGTGCGGGAGCAGGCTCCCTATGGCTCCCTTTTTGGGTTTAGAGCCCTTTAGGGTTTTAGCGTTTGTTTTGTTCGCCTTCTCGGTTTGACAATGCGGCACGGGGGGTTGGTGTGGGGTTTTGTGCGATGTGGTGGAGCTGGGGCTTCGGGTTAGGATAGTTCGGAAGCAGGGCTGCCTCAAATCATGGTCCTGGTATGACAGGTATGATCCGGTGTGAGACCCAGGCATGAAGCGGGAAGCTCCTAAGGTTTAGGCACCTTGTTCCGTCCACCCCCCCCTCCCCGGAACTGCTTTTTGGTGGCAGAGTTTAGGGAAGTTCAGGTCTACGGCTGCAGGGTCGGAGCGTTGAAGGTATCATCAAAAAAGGCGGATGCTGCCTTCGTGCCGTCTATTTCTGCGTAGAGGTCTTCAGAGTTATGGGTGCAGGTCTACACTCTATACACTACATGGGAATGCGAGACCTATTGAGACCTCACCATCAATAGGAACATGGATTCCTGGTCTCTTGGTGCAGTGCTTGGTTGATTCGAGTCTCAGTTTGATAGTGCACAGCATCATACAGGGTGCTAGGGCTGTCGAGCTTGCCGCCAAAAGCGAAGCGCTTGCTGCTTGCATCCCGCAGGCGCGCGCGTTGGAGGTGCCCGGAGCGGGGCGAGAGTCAAGAGAAGAGATGGACTTGAATGGTTCTTATGCCGTACTCCTGCAACTGCAATTTAAAAGGCGTGAATGTTCGAGGGATCGGACAGCCCTTCCTCCCGGTCTTTGTCACTAGCAAGGTCGTAGGGCAGGTGGCACGGAGCCCGGAGGTTCGCAAGAGGTAAGTCTCGTTGAAGAGGCAGATACGTTCTTAAGAGTTACCGCCATATGGGTGGTTGTCAAAATTATGGTCCCTTATTGGGTACCCTAAATATTAGGTGCCGTATTATAATAAGGACTCAAACAGGGATCCTAGTTTTGACAACCACCCATATAGGAAGAGCGCGAAGGCTGCCTTCACAACCTGATCTTGAGTCACCTGGGATTCTGTCTAGCATTTAAAGGTTCACATCGCAGAGTGTAGGTTTGAGGCCGCAGTTGAGCCCGACACCCTTCTCCCTCTGAAGCTGGATGTCTCTGGCGTTAGCATCGAACTGAGGTTTGAAACCTGCGACCCTTGAACCCCCTGGCAGGAGCTGCTGGCAGTAGAGCAAGTCTCCGTGAACCGGGCAGCTTACGTGGAGGCGACTTGAGGCTCACAGCGACCTACGGCATGGGGTGGATGTAGGGTGTTGGGTTCAGTGTGAGGGTCCTACTCATAGGGTTGGTGCTGAGACGGGCGTAGGAGGCGTGCCCCATGATATGCTTTGGGCTAGCGAGCGCGGAATCTGCGTGAAGCTCGTCGGTTTTTGGGCCTTGACCTTGCTTGCCGCTTCAAAATTACCAAAAGCCGCAGGGACCGGGTGAATTGAGAAGGAAATCCTCGTGACTGTTGTCGTTCGTCTCTGAGTTCGATACCACAGCGACACCTCGAAGCGAAGCTGCAGACAGTTACATTCATTTGAGCGGGGCGCACCCACAAACTTACGTGCACTGCAAGCAGCGGAAGAGGCTTTGACTGCCGCGGAGGAGCAGTGCAGCAGAGCAGACACTTTTGTACCGCTTGCAGCACCTCGGCTGCTGCACAGCTTTTGCGGGTTAAACAGGGCACGTATGTTTCCTGCATCTAGTTCAGGATTACGAAGGGGAAAAATGGCGCCAGTTGCATGGTCGGACGGGCCACCTGGCGTACGACGACAGGGCCTTTGGGAATCCGACGGCAAGGTGACAATGGGCTCTTCTACTGCCTTTAATTCGAGTTTTAGCCGCAGACGGACAGGGCCTGTATGGGAGGGAAGGGCTCCGGCATGAGGCATGACTGGGGTGCTACTTTGCTTCGGCCCTCTGGCAATACACCAGCAAGCGCAAGCCGCTCCACGTGCATTTAATTTGTTGCAGTGGGGTTTCTTCATGCACACATCCGTGATCTGAAGGTGTGCCGTCGATTGGGATGCCTTCGCGGAGGTTTTCCCAAAGCAATAAGCCAAAGGGGTTTGCGACTTTGGCGGTAAAGCTGCAGTAAAAGGCATGCCGACGCCCTGCTGCGGCATGAACTACAGTCCCTACAAGGACTGCGTTTGGGTTTGGGTAGATTCTGAATCATGTGGGATGTTGGGAGGATGGCCCGGGCAGCTCCTCCTCTCCAGTGGCCAATCTGCCACAGGCAGCGGCACTGGAGGGGAGGAGTCGTCAGGAGTCTTGCCGCTGGAGGTTATGAACAGGCTAGCGGAGGCCAAAGCGGAGTGGCACTGGAGCGCGGCCTTGTTGTTTTAGGTCCAGGGTGGCGTATTTGCGAAAGCCATGAGCCTGTCGACGCCGGCTCTGGGACGCCATTCTTCAGTCCCAGGTTCACTATCGGGGCACCGCGCCCCAAGGCCCCCGACCTGATGCTCGATCGACGCGCGCACCGGACAAGGGAGGAGCCAGGACCAAATGTGCGTACTTGATGATGCATCTTGAACTCTTTACCAACTTTACGAGTATTCTGCTTGAGATTACCTTTAGCCCCCAGCCGCAGATTCATACAGAGAGCGACAAACAAAAAAGCAGCATATCCTTGGCGACTGCAATTTTAGGACCAGAGTGTTAGCACTCATTTCCATCGGGGACGAAAACAAAGGCGTTTGATCAACCGCAACTGGCACCCTCAAGCATGATTGACCCAATACTCCGTGAAAACACTATCACACCTCGTTGCTAAACCCTGGGCTCAGTTCAAGATTGGGGGCTTCAAGAGTTTAGGGTTGGTTTAGGGATTACTGCTAGGACTTATTCGTGGCACGGGCTTATGCAAACGAAGTAAACATCAGGTCAGCACTCGAACGAGAGCAGCCAGAAAACGGAGTAGATCAGGGGTTTGAGTTTGTATACATAGTACATATATATATATATATATATATATTTTTTTTTTTGTTATTTATAGATAGCACAGCCTTTAAACCCTAAACCGCAATGTGGCGGACAGAAGGGGGCATGTTGACAGTCTTTCGGGCCTTGGAGTCATAGAGTCCGTGAAGCCGTGGGAGCTAGTGAGATTCAATTTGCTCGAAGTCTCCGATCGCCTTTGGGACTTAAAGCCCAACTGGCTTCTTCTGTATCTTAGTACTTCGCAGCTGCTGGTCCATTCCCTGGACGACAGCCGTCAGGCCTTGAAATACTGCATTGCCACGGATTCCGCAACAGCCTAGCTTCAGCCTTGACTAAGCT